TTTCCTTTTGAGCGTCGCCCGTTGAATCTTTGATTGATTCTTGGAACTGTTGTATTTTCTGAAAAAAAAAACTTTTTTTTGATGACAACTGTTGATGAGATACTGTTTGACTCATTTCATGCTGGTCATAAGGGCAGGCGACGGACTCCACTTGGCCTCACTCATTGGCGCCCAGCTCGCCTTTACATGTTTAGAAGTGAGATACACATCAAAGAATATAGTGATGGGCCTGGCTCCGCCCATATGATTAGCCTGAACTCGTGCCTTCAAGTTGAGATTTGAAGAAAGCTCAAGAAGGCTCCAGAACTATGCAAATGCTGCTCAGCGGATATACTAGTTTTTTTGGGGTTCTGCAGTATCAAAAGCCTATCAGACCATTCCTTCTCGATTTTGACAAGAACCTACACTTGATATGTTGGCAACTTCGGTCCTGTCCTGATCTACCAATGATTTCTCAGCGGCCAAAAACTTCTGATCATTACGAGGAGCCACGAGAGTGTATTGGCAATCACCATCCACCGTACAACTTCGTTTGAACTCTGAAAAGCACTCAATGTAGCACTTCCTGTGTAGCTGCACCTCACAAATCCATCATTCGTATAGGAGACATTTGTTTAGTATAAGCCATGAAATGTGTCATTGTATATAGTGCAGCTTAACATGAGTATGGAATTTTGCAAAAACTTTCTAGATTATCTCAAACTGGAGTAATTGTCACTGAAGGGGAGGGGGTCTGTTGATTTTGATAATATGTGGTTATTATCATTAAAGGCACATTCCGCGATAAAATAAGGCTATGACCTCTCAAATGTGTCGGACGATCCGGAAGGCGATTTTTGAGGCTGCGCTACTTTCAAAATGTGAAAAACGGCAAGAACTCCGCTAGAAGCTGACTAATTAGGCCCATGGACACCCCTTAGGCCCATGCCGACCCTCACCGGCTGCTAGCTACTAGCTAGTAGCCACTATGTTATCTTTCTCTATAACATTTCGGACTGCTTTTTCTGCTGCTTTTCTCCGCTAATCAGATACTTAGCACTTTTTTGTGCCTATTTGAGTTCCGTTTCCCGCAATTTGCGGTCGCGAACTGTGCCTTTAAAGTATTGCGAGGGCGTGTCAGCGGACATGGGTTCAGGGTAACGGCAATAGTTTGTGTGTAACACATGGGGGTCGTACTTTTCCGTTGAGGACGGAGGGGGGTCGTATTTGGTCGTTGTTGGGAGATGTTGTTGTCTGCTGTATGTGGATTTGAGAGAAATTTGCCGCGTTGAGAAACGGAAGTTAGGAACAATGCTTCCCGGTTGTTGACTTTTGTGATTTTTGCTGCTTCATGTACATGTGTAGTACATACCATCCCCACCCTCCCCACTCCCCGCTCGAGGGAAAAAATTTTTGGATGAAAAACTGGAAAATGTGGGAAACTGGTAGGTAGGTGTTGGGGAAGGGGGGGTCCCAGCGAAACCTCCTCCGAGAGAGGGGTCGTACTGCAACCACCATTCCACACTCACGGTGCTGTACCCTGCATGGGTTTCGGCGCAAGCCCGTACTTGCCACCATTCCTTTAACGACCGGAGTCGCATCCATCGATAAAAAATGGGCTGGCGCTGCGCCAAACCCCATGCCGCGCTGAAAAGCCCTCACTGATTTCAGTAATAGGGACTGTAATTCCTTGTACCGATCGACGTCGCACCGGAACTACTGCTTTGGGTGGTCGAGATAGGGAGTGTCCACCATCTCTTCCCCCCCCCCCCCCTGCACTCGCTTCTCCATTCAGAAGTCAATAAATTTGGCTACTTACACATCCTTTAAACTTGACCAGTATGTCTACAGAAGAAAATTTCGAGAAACGCCCCCTCCCATCCCCCAGCAGAGTCCAGGGTAAAGTTTTGGGAAACTTTCGCAAGAGGGGGAGGTGTAGGTCGTGGGAACCGTAGCGTCGAGGTCCTCCGTTTAAATGGTCCACGGTCGTCCCGACATTGCCATCATACAGACCTCTCGCCTTAAGGTACAGTGCCCAAATAATAGAACATGTGCTAAACTTACATGTTCTGTTCATTTATCCCGTGCTTCTAATGCTGACTTGTACGCGTGGAGTTACGAATGTCCGATTATGTCACTGCCAGTAACACCACTACCCCCTCGTCAACCGTTGAAAATATGCCTCAGTTTCAAAGGATAAGACAGGGTGAAATAGGGGAGTGACACGCTTAGTATGCGGACGGTCCGGAAATCGAGTCCTGGATTGAGTGGGGAAAGTTCCAGGCCACCCGAGGACGATTCTTTCTATGTGGGGTGAATGGGCCCAACTCCGTCTGCGTTGCGCACGGCCATCCAAAAGCCTACTCGAAGCCATAGCACAATTTGTCCTAAAATCTGGCTATTCTGTAATCCTGACTACAGAATTGTAGGCGCAAGTGCTGCACCTTGATAGCGTCATTGGAGTGAGAAGACGGCACCCGGGTAGCTACCCTCGGGCCCCGTGTTCCTGCTCCCTTGACCGTGGAAGCAGGCTTGTCACCGAGGCGACCCTTTATATTTGTAGGGGTTCTACTGCGCAGGGGTGCCGTACTGCTAGCCACACGCCTAACCATAGCTGAACGCACTTTCACAAATGATGCAGGTACTGCACGTCGAGGATAGCACCTGCACCGATACTAAGATATCGAGGTCGGACTTAGAAGACGGCTCTCGAGCATCACCACCCTCCCGCCCCGTTCCCTTTCTTTTTTGACCTGAATGAGAGAGAGAGGAACATTCGCACTGCGACTGCAGACTTTTTTCGAGTATGGAAAGCCCTTGTCGCAAACCGTACTCCTAATGTTTGGCCAAAGGTGACTGTTGATTTTCATAGAATAGAAAAAAAATTACTGTTCACTTTCTCATTGCGTCTTTCACTACGAAGGTACACAGCTAATCCCAATCTAACAACATTTTTCACTTTTTAGGAATTTTCACAACCCAGGCTATTTTTATGAGGACTTGATACTCGAATTATACTAGATTAAATTAATCAGAGCTAACAAAATGTCCTGCTACTCCACTAACCTACGTATTCGACATCGACGTTGGGGAGCGTTGTCGTTCCCTCCGTGGTAGTAACCGTTGAGGTCGATGTTGATGAAACCGTGCTATTCACTGGAGCAGTAGGGCTTACTGAAACAGCAGGACCTGTCCCTGGAGTGCCTGTCGAAACAGAGCTACCAGTGGTTCCCGTGCCTGCCGATGCATCAGTAGTTGTTGAATTCGACGTTGCAGTACCTGCACTAGAGGTGCTCGACTGAATGCCTGCACCTCCACTTGTCGGTGTTTCTGATGTTGTTATTGAAGTTGGAGTAGTCATTCTGAATGTATCCCATTATCTGAATGATTTAATTATCATTATTATCTGAACCCTTCATTTATTCTACTGAAATTTATCAAACGTCTAACAATGAACTTCACCCTTACATTCTATTTCAGTCCTCTCAGATCAAAAAAGTTTATCTCTCAAAAATACTCCTTCCTTGCTCATTTGCTGCTCTGACTGCGAACATAACATGCACTTTTGACGCCTGCACGCGCAACGATCTTTTCACACTACACTTCTGATCATGAGAGAGCGTACATAGTTCGCGAATGGGTCGCCCTGATCGCGCGTGCGATTTCGCGCGAATCGCCGCCAACGATCGGTAGAGCACACGCTATCTTAAACGGCCAAATCGCTATTTCAAAAGTCGGAGAATGAACCGGACGCATGTATGAAACTGGTACCACCTCGCAGTTTGATGGAAGTTCACAATTCGAGGAATTGCACGGTATGTTGACAAGAAATCACATAAATGATCGAACCGCCCAATCTCCTCTTCGTGTCTATTGCTTCGGAAGTGGGTTGCAATTGTAGGGCGTCATCGCGCTTCACAGTGCGTTACAGCGCGTCGTCGCACGTGTTTGAACGCTGTTCAAGCGTGTCATACGTACAACTGCGACTCCTTTTCTACGCCGGGGATCCACTCTATACCCGTGACTCAAGGGAAGGGTTGCGCAACGCAAACCCTACCGAGAGTAGGGTTTGCATTGCGCAACCCTTCCCTTGAGCCACGGGAGCCCCACGGAGTCAGGTATAAAAATCGTTCACAAGAAAGTTAAGAAGCTTCTCTTCCGATTCCGGAGGCAGCTTTTGACGTAACTCTATGGCACGAACTAGGTAACAATTCCAG